CTGGTTGGTTTCATTATGCAACAAAGCAAACTCCAATTGATCTGGAATCCCTACAACACAATAAGGCATTCATGCAAGTAAAACAACAGTAAAGTCAGACTGCAAGCAAAGTTATTTTGCCAAAGTTTTCTTGTATTTCACTCCAACACTTGTGTCACTTGCAAGAAATAAGTAAAAGAAAGGCACTACTCAGAGCCCCCTCTGGTAATATAATTGACAAGGGTTTTCCTTAATCACACTTTGGGAATTTCAATCAACAAAAATATAAACATTGATGCTGCTATAATTGTACAATAACTCTAACAATAGTTACTTTGATTAATTGTTTCTATAATTTTCTTTACCTTAAGTTTTTCAAAGGATTGAAACTTTGCAAGTGCATGTGCTAATGAAGAAAACACCTAGCTTCCACTCAACTTAGAAAAATAAACAAACTTGTTTAAAATTTATTTAGGGTGCAGGATTGTGGTTTGAAAATTCACTTCTGCCACAATACCAAGTCACCCTTAGTGCACAATATAAACAGGGGAAATAGCTAGATTTAAAACCAGATTCTCAAAACAAACATTGTTAAGACTGGGTGGCACACAATAACATAGGTTTGTGCACAGATCTTGGGAGTAGAAGGGTTGAGATCATCACAGGGGTGTTAACCCTTTAACTCCCAGGAGTGATTAACATGTTACGTCTCCCTATAATGTCCATACCTTATCCAGCAAAGATATGATGAGAATTCTCAAATTTATCAAGTACAGGTTTTTGTCTTGATCTAACGCCAAATTCTCATAACTTAGTTACAATGAAATGTGTTGTAGCTATAGGGGAGAATTAACATCAGATCTGTGGGGTTTAAAGGGTTAACAGGTAAACCATGTCGAGTGATGACTGTGCAGGTTTTTCTTTACTTCATTAAGTTTAATGACATTTTAAACACAACTAGATGCATAATATGAATTGGGGTAATCATGTCCAATGAATGTCTAATCGGCATTCAGTTACTTATCTTTTGAAGGTGCAGTTTCAACCAAATCTTCGAGTATCTTTCTTGCAAAATCACAAGTGTATCCAGTATAAATGTTGAATTTTTCCATGTTTGATCTATGACTGTCAACTCCATTGATGACCTTCTCACAGCTGTTAGTATCAATATCTTTAAACTTCCTTTTCAGAGAGTGATTCTTCAAGGAAAGATTCTTTGCTGAAGTAAATGCATTATTGTCATTCGCATCCTTGCATTTGATCTTGCAGTTGGAAATATTTTCCTTGGGGGAACTCAAATGTTCATCAAACAAACACTTGGTTTTGTTGGCTGAAGTAGATGTAATGTGTTTAACCCTATTAACATCCACACTGTAAAAAACCTTGGGTTCCTCTTGCACTTGACTTTCTGTTAAGTCTTTTCTGCCTGATGACAAATCAACCAAACTATTTTCATTTCCACTTGTCTCCTGGACCATACTTTCACACTGAAAACCTTCTCCATTGGAAACATCAGTGAGATGCAGGTTTCCTTCAGGTTTGCTACCGGACATGAAAGGTTCAATGGTGGAGGAGGCAACTAGATTGACTTCATTGGCAGGGATGATTACATCAAAGTAATCAATATCCACTTCTGACATTCCTTGTGGTTCACTGCCAATTTTGCCACATTCTATGTTTGGTGAAACAATAGTACTGATCTCATCTTCTGTGATCATCTGTTCCTTGGAATTAGTGTCTTCACAATTGAGAGCACTTTTGTTTGATCTTTCTATCTTGTCATTGTCAGATGAGCTTGATTTGTTGTCTATTGATGAGGCTAATTTATTTTCATCTTCTGTGGTCTCTTCTCTTATACTGAGTACTGGTTTATCTGACATTCCCCCTTTTTGGAGGTCTTCAGCTGTGACTGGACTTCTCTGATCTCTTGGGACCTCTTTGGAAGGACTACACTCTGTATTGCCTGTGTCTAACCCACACTTTTCATCTTTCTCTACTTTTTCCCCAGGACTGGTAGGAAAGACTACCCCTTGAGGTTTCTTGATCTTAGCAGCCTTTCTTGTAAAGAGCTGACCTCTTGCCTTTGTCTTCTTGGGCTGCTGTGCTATGGAACTCATGAAGCATGTTACAGAATGAGGGATCCTGTACTTCTGTAATGGAGAATAATCCAGCAAAGATTGGAAGACATGCATGTTCACTCTAGTATTTATAGTTTCCCCTTGTGACAGTCTGTGTTTATGCACAATCGGAATGATTCTCCTCGG